ACCAACATTGGAAAGAATTAGATCATATTAATGTAAAATATAGTTGGAGAATTGTCGCCCTTTTCGTATTATCCGCTTACAATCCGATCATGCGTCTGTACAAACATATGTATATTTAAACCTTACTAGTCGCAGGGAAATAAATAGTCAACATTGAAACCTGTATGTGACCTACTGGGAGATGAGAAAATCAAGTATGTTTTTAGCAAGAAGATAGCAAGGCATATATCTGAGCATGGCTGCAATTCGCTTGCTGATGAATCTTAGTGTGATATTTAGTCTAGCGTAGGCAGCTGGTAACCTAAATCCAAAGGTTAGCCAAAACCAGTGAGTTTACACAACGTTACCTAGACCTATTGATGCGAAGAGACTCATTCCACCTGGCTCTGACCACAATGAAGAGTGAAAGTTACTTTAAAGTAAATTGAATAAAAGTCTTCGCAATGATCGCGAGTAGTGGTGGGTGGCGATGGAGATGGCGAAGAAATCAGCATGAGATAATTCCCGACAGTTATTTCTGTTTATTAAGAGTACTGGCAAGAAGACGATGGTTAATGAGACCATCACCGAAGAGGATGGAACTCTAATAATGTCTCAGGACAGACTTACAACGTTGAGCATAACGATTTGAAGCCTACTTCATTTACCCCACAGCAACGCTTCGCTTGCCCAGCATCCAGCCCTAAACTGAATGGGACGTAGATGTTAGTCCTGGAAGTTTGAGAAAGCTTTTTTTCTAATCTGAAACAATGCATATGGTTTCCCACCAGAAGTCTGCAAGGAAGAAGGTAGGAAGTTGCTGAGTAGAGTAGCGGAGAGACTAGTCAGTTTAGCCTATTCAAAAGTAGTCCATTCAAATGGATCTAGATCACTGATATAACCGGTTTATAAACTATAGGAGATCTCTGTTTGTGACAACCATAAGGAGATAAGCTTGACTAGCAGCATACTCAAGATCTCATGGTCCGTAGTTATCCGACGGACGTCTAGAGTTTGAACAAAATAAAGTTAAGAAAATCAAACAGGTTTCAAACCTGGACTGCAATGCATTGATCAGATTTCCACTTTTCGGCAGTTTCTGGAACACAAGCATACTTACCGGTGACCGGCACTTGCCATAATTATTGATTCAAAGACCGCATTTGACTCTGTCGACTGAGCAATTTTGTTCCAATATGTGACTATAAATAGCATATCCCGCAAGTATGTAGCCCTGATAATAGCTCTCTACTCGAACTCACGTAAGCGTATATGGAGAATTGTCATGTGAATCACAACAACTACCGCTGTTCGTTACGGATGGATGCCCATTGTCACCATTCCCATATTCCCTTGTTATAGACATGCTGACGACTATATCAATATATACCCCAATCTTCCAGGTATTAATTTCCTCCTAGCATATCACCTGGTTGACTCGAAGTATGTGCACAGCATAGTCTTTTTAAGCGAAGATACTGACAAAAACAAGAGTCTTCTGAATACCTAAAGTATAAACCAAAGTATGTTTCCCATATGTTTTGCAGATGTGAAAAGTAAGATGACGGTTCAGCAATGGTGCGCACTGACTCATTGGTTGAAAGTAATCTCTCTAAATCAATGAGCAACAACTCCAGTAACCGAGGTTTTGAGTGCGAATCGTGGAACTAATTCATCAGCGATTTCTTTATGGAACAAATTAGAATTATGTATGGACTTACTCAAGTGTTCAGATAGATTTAAAAGGGAATTTGAATATCGCGTGATAGTTGCTAACAGAAGTTGTAATGTTGAAATTGTATTCTCCGCATATTTGGGAAGCATCTCTTCGTGTTTGCAAGCAGATAGATCACTGGACAAACCAGCTGCAGCCATAGTGATTAAATTCTGCAATATTAGGACACCGTAAATCAACCATTATGCTATCGTATGTTGTTGTTTTTTTATCGCTATTCAAAGAGTGCACTGATTAGCAAACTTGATATCAAAAGGATAAGTACAATTGAAATTAGAAATAGGCTTACTCGGTTGAAGTATCCAAGTTTCTAGATTATTTATACAATGTTTTGATGATTAGACTGACAAAAAATGCCTACTAGATCGTGTCTTTTCATTTAGATCCACATTAGTCAATGATCGCTTTGTTTATTTCGTAGAGCTCCACGTTGATGGTTGGAATCCTATTGCATCTCAAATTTTTGCTTCATATTCAACCGTCACTCAGTGCGAATTAGATAAATCAAAAAAGCAATAACTCATCTTCAGCTGGGTTGCTTGTTGAGGTATGCTTTTGGATAACAGATAATGAATGACTGAAAGGGGGCATCTGGTTCATATTTGTGAGACTACTATTTCGAACCATATAATAGCTTTTATTTATAATATTGCTGATTAATTAATGTACACAAATGATAAACACTCAAAACTTAATGAATTCACGTGTGTTAAGGAGTGCGACATCCAGTAGATTTTTCAAAGAAGCCTGGAAATCCCCGATAAGCTTTCACAGCCAATCATATAATGTTGAATGTTCGAGAGAAACTGCGCGTAAGACTCAGGTTGGTTAAAGGGCCCTCCAGAAAGGTGTAGAACTTTCCAATTCCATCAGCAAATGTATACAAACCGTTGATTTTTGTACAACTTCGACTGGACAATAAATCTTTATCGTTTTTGCCGCTTCTTTCTCTTTTCGGGGAACCAAGCGATCACCAAGGGTAAAGTCTAATACAATAATATATCACAGTGACGTGATGTGTTGTTTAGTTTGATATGAAGCCTCATATAACTCATTCACCTGACTACAGCATTTTTTTTGACAGTTTACTATTCCCAATTATCACAACCACTTTGTAATAAACAAAGGTGCTTGTAATTCAATAACTTATATGTTAGTTGTATGGCATTTGTGTTGAATGATGCTTTTTTGAACTTTGACCAGATCATAATATTATGTCATATGGTTAAAAGACAACTAATCGATCAGCTTTAATTTCATTTAATTAATAAAACAAAACGATGATTAGTTGTATGGATTAGTTCAGAGTAGTAACTGTCAAGGAAAGGATTGCTTTTCATCATTTTAACTTCAGTACGTTGAAGAAAGATGTAAACAAATGATAAAAACAACTGTGAGGTAAACGAAAGTCGATAAATTCACTCATTTTTATTGGTGATTTGTTGAAAATAGCTGAAAAATATATACAATCAGTCCGTTGAATAAGTGCTTACGAGGTTGGCAAGTCATCGGGTTGATAAACTGAAGTCTATTCTTCTCTTCAACACTGTGCGCTACATTACTTTACAGTTGTTAGATATGACCATTTAAAGCAAAATGTCGTATAATATGCATTCCAGAATCTCTCATCATTGTCTAATCGCTACGTCAAAGAAACAAAGAAATTACTGCTTAATCGTTACTGGATTCTATTTTTGAGTCATGTGAAAACGTTTCGAGTGCCACATTCGTGATATACGAATATCTTTTACCCGAAGAAATCGCATCATAAACTAGCCACTCCTTTGCCTCTTTCAACCAGTTACGGGCTGACATACAATAAACAATATGAAAGCTGTTAGAACGACATGTTCAAGTCACCGAAGACGATATTTCAAAACAATGTCATTTACTGCATAACAGTTCTCAGCATTCCGAACAAATAGTGTTAAAACTGAAAATAAATAACATGATATCGTTATTGGAGATAATAAGCAGTCTTGAGACAAAGGTGATAGAGTGCATTGAGTTACCCGATGTCTTGTGTTCGAAAATGCCGAATTTTACGGGCCCGACAAAATTAATGCCCACGCTGGAACCTTTTAGTACGTTTAACGAGTAAAATGAAAACAAGCCAGTAGTTAAACGGTAATGAGTAATAGATCAGCGAACTAAACGTAGAGGTTGTAGTAATTATAAAGCAATACGCTTAATATAAAAATGAAAGGAAAACAATGGAACACAGGTTTTGAGATCCAATAAACGTAATTATCTGCTAAAGAGTTTATTCACTTAGGGATTTTGTGATCCTTGCTATGCTCTTCGGATGTTCATATGGAATCAGATTATCGTCATGAAAAACTACTTTTCGACTTGAGACCCTTTTCCGCTCTCTTACTCTTGTTTACACAAAGCGTTCCAGAAAATAGTCAATGTTTGTATTGCCACAATACTTTTGAGTTACGATTTGTACATACATCGGATACTAGATGGTGAACGATAGACATACTAAGTGACATTCATTGATCAAGCTATGCAAAGGTAAAGGTCTTACTGATCCAAGTAATGTAAAAATACTTTCTGCTGTTTTTCTAACACCAAAGGTTAAGAGGTTATCTAAAGGAATTCTCAAGTCTATATCTCACATTTTTGTAGTACTCCTCAACTAAACATCTACAAACTGGTATCGTTTAGCATAGCCTTTTTAACCGCTGCCGACTCATTTTGGAAAAAGCTGTTGAAAATGTCTGTGTTTGTTGTTATTTACCCATAGTTAGTTACCATAGGGCTTGAAAATTTTACTTCCATTCGATGTGCCACAGAATTAAACTTTCCTCTGGGTGCTGAAATTCAACCGAACAAACAGTATTACCGTTCTTCATACATTCAATAAACGACACAGTACATGAAGTTGTAGGTGGTTTTCTAGTCGTTGTCTGCTAGCTGGTTAGCAGTGGAATATAAGACACTCGTTTCATCCTGTTTGGGACTCGTCAACTGGATGTACTTGCACCCTAGTAAGTGATGTCGTCCCCACTGAAACTCTAGCTTCACACGTTAAAGCATTATCCACTGGGGCACGAGGGACACCTCTTGTGCAACGGGTATCAGTTGTTGTCTGATACTTGTAGTCCGCCGTTGCTCTACTGGGTTGAAATGGCCAACCTCCTTTGACATCTAGGTTTTTTATTCACCCAGATCCCAGTTCATTGAATTGTCGACTAGACTTTCGCTTTTCCATTTTAAAAATGAATTATGTTTACTTCAAAAACATTACTTTTTTTTTCTCACAAAATTTCACTCACAGATTATCAATTCATCTCAAATGGTTGATGCATTTGAGCCATTGATCACATATTTGCTAACATGGCGGCGTATATTAAAACAGCAGTCAAACAAGATATTTTTTAAACAATCAATAATGTTGGACAGTTTAACAAAAGAAGCTGAAGAATCACAATTGTCACCTAGAAATGAACAACAGAAGTCCTCTACAACTGTTGAATTCACTTGTTATTCAATAAAAGATATAAGTGTGATGATTTTGTCGTGTACAAAACTTTTAGAATTAATTGACACCAGTCTTTTGAAGTGTTATTTATCAACAAATACAGCTCGTATTGCACCACTATTACGTCAAGAAAATTTGTGTATTCTTGAAGAATCAGTTAAAACATTACAGGAGCATAAACGTTATCAGGTAGGTTTTGTTTTATTCGCTTAGACGACTTTATTTGGTTGGTGATGCCTATCAAAAGAATTCAGTATACTCATTTCGTCTTATTTCGAACTCATGAATGGGATATACTTTCATCTTAGATGATAATAGTATTCTCTGAGAAGCTGAAATTCAGCATTAATCCCTCCAAATATCACAGTGTTATCGTTCTGGTTACTGATTCCTAAAAAAACCCTCTTATGAAGAGATTATCGTTTGTTTTTTATCGACTTCAGGATCAAAATCTGACCTAATAGAGTTGAAAATGTTGAGCATTGGGTGAATGGATTATAAAAGAAATATATTTGTAAAATCTCATTGAGGTAGAAAAATTAATTTCCGACTTTTCAAGACGTCTTAGAAATCCCTTCAGAGAATAAAACCTGCACAAGTTATTGAATGCATAAGTAGTAAATTTGATAAACAACGCCTCACCACCTGATTCAGTTGTAAACCTACATATTAGTCTCAAGCCAAAGACGAAGATCTGATTGAAAAATAAGTTGAATTAAGTTGGAAGAGGGTTCAGGGTGACCAGATCAAGAAGTGACACCAGTCGATGAATTATCTGACTGTTGATCTGAGCCATATGGGAAGATGTTGACTACCTGGTTGGGGTCCCCGAGACGATAAGGAAATCCATGGTTGAAGACTCTTGTGGACATGGCCGAAAACCAATCAAACTGGATTCATTCTTTGACATCTTCTAAAGCTTGAATAGCTGTGCTAACTTTTATTTTCAAATTGTTTATTCTCTCACACTACTTTATCTACTTTGATATCACTCGTTTTCTACCCGCCTTTACTTTTTTACTACTGTGCAGTGTGCCAAGTTGAACCTATTCACTTGTATGTGAGGTTTCGCGTTGATTTTATCTAGTTCTCATCAAGTTTGGTGGGATGGTCACTGGGTAGCTAATATACTTTTACCAATGATTGGAAAACAGCTTGTTTTGCATATACACTGCCTTCTCTTATTATCTCTTTTCACATGATATAGGAGTTAGTAATGCTGTATCAATCTCGTGGTTTACATCGTGAAGCTTTATCGATCCTACAACAGTTCAGTGTGATACGTATGAAACAGCACGGGCGGACAACAACAACAACAACGGACATGTCATTTAACAACAAATTATCATTCAACTTCACCTTAGAGAAAATGAATCGTGGATTAATTGAACAACTTGGTCACCCAAAGCGTATCATTCATTATTTCATTCAGCATTTAAATGCTTGCCATATTGATCTACTGATTGACTATACAAAGTGGCATATGTTACGTTATCCAACTAGTTGGATGCGTATCTTATCCACTTGGGAGGCGAAACTTGCAGTGAAATGTCAAAATGAATTTTCAGGGAATAGAATGTCATCAGATGATAATAAAGAGAAACAAGGTAGGTGACAAGTGTTTTTTTTTTTACCTGAGAGAATCTCGCGTATTCGTTGTGCACCGCAAGGTGAAGTAGTACGTATGTGTGTGTGTGTGAGGGGAGACACCGCAAACTACGTCATGTGATCATTTATAATTATGTACACCAATGTAAAGGCAATTAGTGAAAGCTTACAACACTGAATATCTCGTCGCTAACTAGGAACATGGGTGTTGATTGCAGTTGAAGGAAAATCTTGTTTTCAGCAGTTTAACGGCTTAACCCTATATCTATTACGAGACTGAAGTACCAATCAGGCAATGATTTCAAGCAAAAATTGTTCTTCCCGATTAATTTTAGAGTGAATAAGAAGTTATAATGAATAGAAAATAAAGACAGGTTCAGCGGTTGGGCTTTGCAGTATAGATGACACAGTACCAGGTTTGTAACTGAGATTTCATTGACTAGAATTCATCTACAAACCTTGCTGACTATCAAATTCAGTAATTTCCCTCCCATGTTCAACTAATCTATCAATCAACACGTCTATTTTGAGCAGTATGACCGTCTAGGAAACTTCGACTGGACAATTAAAGTGAATGTTATCGACTGATTCACAGTACCTTCATCACTTATTTAATAGTCAACTGTGTGATAACGGTTTGACTCATTGGTTTCGAGAGAGGTCTATCAACCAGTGGGTCACGAGTTCGAACCCCGTTTCACCTACATAGGTTTGGCCGGCCATATAGCCACCTCTTGTGCCTCAATGGGCTAATGGATAACGTTTCGGCGTTTGAAACGATGGGTACGACTTTCGAGTTTTAGTGGGAACAACATCACTCACTGGGGTGCAGCTACATCCAACCGACGAGTCTTAAAAAGGACGAAACGCGCGTCTTGGTTTCCTCTCCTAGCCAAAACCAAGTAAATCACCATAATAAATATTCAGGCAACATCGAGGTCTCTGCATAGGAGTACACATCCCAACAAAGGTCGAGCAATTTGATCCAGTATAAAAATGCAGAATTACAAGGATATCAACAAATAGTTTAACATGGTTAAATTCAAACTTGGCGCTCACCCTAATACCAAGATTATCTGTAACATCTATGTCGTGGATATGTGTAAGCTTATCGAATTCTTTTGATCAAGTTCACGATATATCAATCAAGCTAAATGCTGCATTATCGTAGTTTACTTCATTTTGTGCTAGAAGATAGTCAGGGTTCGTCAATAAAAATCCGTATATCAAGCATCGAACATATTGTACTACGATACTGAGTGACTTAACTTGGTAGAGAAATTACACACTAAATGATATTGCTTGGTCGTAATTAACCAATCAGTTTATCGAATCATGTCACACTAGATTTCAATCTCAACTTGAATAGATAACATGGTTTCTCTCGAGGTTACATATATGCCTTACTGACGAGTACCAACAAGCAGGTCAATTAGAGTTTTCTACCGATTGTCTCTAATCGGTCAACATTGATCAAGATGTACCACTGTAGTCAGTCTTTCAACTTGATGATCACATCGTAGATTTAATCGAAAGGGTTCGACCGGTCTTTATCACTGGACAGTGTGATACTGATTACTATCTGATAACGAATGAGTATATAGTGGGTTATACATCTATATATCAATACTTTGAATGTCCATTTTATCATCAATTTGAAATGAATCTCAGGTTTTGTTTTATTCTCTTATTTTTACAGATCAATTCATAACATTCTGTTCAAATTATCGAAATCAAATTTTGCATTATATGGAACAATATGCTGTACACTTGATTATTCCTTATTTAGAAATGATCATATTTATTCATTGGAATAATCAAAATGATAATATGGACGATGATGATTATGATGAAGAAGAAGATGATGAAGCTGAATTGGAGGAGGAGGATGGTGAAGTAGAAGAAGACAATGACATGATGGAAGAGCACGGAGATGAATCAGAAGAGAATACCAGAGGTGCAATAAATTATGATGATGACGATAGTCGTAGTAATGATAGTGCTAATCAAAGCGTTGGTGATGACCTACTCATAGGCAAAGATCAATCGAAGTCTATTAATATTGTTGGTAACCATGCTGAATTGAAACAAAATCTATCAAAAAAACCTACTGAACACAAATTGAACAAATCTAGCCCTCGTAGTATTTCAGGGTTTAAAATGTCCAGCTTTTCTCAATTGTCTTGCACTTCTTTAGATTCAATGCAGTCTGGATATATGTCTCCTGGCAAAGTATGTTAAAATTTTTACTTTAAAGGAATTAATTAGTATTGCTCTCAGTTGATTGTGTCGTGAACCGAACCGAATGATATCGAATCCTTCACAATTTTCTCTTTCATAATGGATGGATTTTAACCTTACTCATATTGTCATATTGAGGCCACTTCAGTTCATGCTCCAATAGGATCCTCAACACCTCGAGATACAAGCTTACTTAGTTAGTGGACATGTAGAAATAAACCATTGTCCTTAAATTCTCAACTAATCATGACAAAGTACTTTTAAGTCTACAATCTCTTTAATAAGCTATCAGATCTGGTGTGATATGAAATTAAGATCTTGTTCAGTCAATAAATTAATGAGTCAATAACTCAAATGCCCTTAGTTCGAGCTCTGGTCCGACTTAATTGTCTTTTAGCTTCACTCATTGATAATGTCTGTATAATTTGTTTTACTCCATCATAGTTGTACAAAAATGCATTTTCCTTAATTCTTTTCTCTTGAGGGAAAAAAGATGAAAGACTTCCTTTCACATTTTTCAGCACTTCAGAATCATTAAGTAATAAACTTTGCTGTATATTGAATTGAGGCTGAGCAATGTAGAACACTAGGGATTTATGTTCTCATTTGATGTAATCTTTTAGTGATTATCAACAGTGGGATCTAGGCCTCGTGTTTTGCCCTATTTGGGACTCATCAACAGGGTGTACCTACATTCCAGTGATTTACTTAATACCTAATGATAATCCCTTTATTCCAAATAATATGTATGATGCAGTATGGAATCTTCAGCATGAAATATATGAACAAATTCACTTTCCGCACAATTTTTTACGTCTGCATGGTGTTAATAATAACAGTATTGAAGGCATAAATGTGAATCGGGTAGCCAGCGTTAAAATAGCTTCTGGTCTCCAGTCGGAAATAAACACGAAATCGAGTGTAATTTTGATGGTGACCGTCCAGTCAGCCAACACAGAAAGTCACAATCCCATACAGATATCTTAAGGATAGTAATATGGTGTATCTCTTACCAACCAGTATAACTCTTCCCCTTCATTTCGTTCTTAGCTTGAGAAACGAAAGTTGTGAAACATTTTAAAAACGTGTGAGAGTATATGATGCGTTTAGAAGACATTTATAAGAATAAAACAAACTGAAAGGGAAGAGTTTGATGGAATATATTCGCTGGAAAAGTTTTTGGTAGCCGTAAACGTGCGCACTGGATTTCACTGATAGCCACCACACTGCAAATTACATCATGATGAATTTAGAAAGAGTATCGAAGCACCCGTTGCAGAAGCCTATACACCGATAAAAAATCTGATCATACATTCAGTCAAGAGATTTATGGCTAATTGTTTTCATCGGGGATCAACATTAGCTAGAAAATCATTGAAAAGAAAAGAGTTGTAGGAAGTTATCTACTTCCAACTTTGGATACTTCAGCATTGTTCATCAACTCTACCAGGTAGGTTACAATTTACTTGCACATGATGATTCCAAGGTGGTGACTTTAGATAATAAATTGTGTCGAAAGCGTTTTCCAGCAATGATATTGTTTCATTATATGATACATATAATGAATAAAGTGAAATGGAACTATACTCTGTCATAATACTCAAATTCTTCTCGTATATTTTAAAAACGGGATATTCGTGCGCTATTCTGTCTTCTTCCTTTTTTAGTTTAATTTATCACGATCAAAAATCATCAAATAGCTCAGTCACTTCATGTTAAAAAAAATCTTTATAAATATCCTTTTTGTTTACTGCAACTGATTTTGTGTTTTTATTGCATTCCTGTTTCACTTTTTACTCCGTTTTTTTCTTATCGAAAGCGTTCAAATCGATTTAAAGATATGATATTGAATTCTCTTTGGCCTTTCCCTGGTAGAAATGATTCTAAACGAAAACGTTTACCCAATCCCACAGTGAATAGCTTGGTGAAAGAAGATAATTCTTCTACAATCCTTTATGATCAAGATAGTTTACCTCCAATTCCAAAATATCCTAATTATATGGATGTGTGTGATATACATACACGTTATGCAACAGCTTTAATGTGAGTTGTGTAGTTTTTTATAGACAAATTTTGCTTTTACTTCAATATAACCTGATGTATAAATATGGTGTGTTGAATAATAACTTTCATGTTCTACCCTAGAGAGTCGTTCAGTTCCTTTGAAAACAGAAAGGGGGGTAGGATATTGCAAAAGTATATACAAAATACATTGGTAGGTTTATACACTTACAATCCCCTTGGTTATTCCCAGGCCTATTGATACTGTCTCTTCAACCAGTCTGACGTTTGCATGATTACTTGAGTAGGCTTTCATGGATTCCGAACTTCTCTGAAGGATCTTGATAGTTATATCCAAATATAAGCTTAGCAGCATAACAAACTTATCGTTTAATAGTGTATTTTGTTTTCAGCAAGTTTAGGTGAGGGGCAGCGGTATCTTAGGAGTCAAACAACGCATAAACTTATAAAATACTTTGCATTCATCTGATGCTTACGTTTAGAACATCATCTCTGTTAGGTATTACTGAAGAAAATTGTAATCCTTATTTCTATCTTATAGGTTTTAATCTACGTCTGAAAGACTCTACGATAGGGTATGTCGTTTTCACCGAACAGTAAAAACGTCATCATTGGACTCTTTTCAATATGTGATACTTATTCCATCGATATTAAATTGTATGGAAAACCGCGGAATGTACCGTTATTCCTCAATGGACGTCATCCACCTCAATGATGTTTTCATTTTATGCTATCAACCTTCATATTTCTTTTTTTTAAAAGAAGATATGAGAGGGTTTCAGCTTTTCAATCACCGATGTCCCTGTAACCTTGTTTGTATCTGGTGTTAATTTTAGGCACAGATTACTTGATAGTTTGGGCGAATCAACTTATCCAGCTGTTTAAAACGACTGAGATGGCTTAAGTAGGTACATATCTTGCGTACTACCTCTTCAGTAATAGGCAGCTGAAGTAGGATTATGTTGGCAAATAAGTAAGTTGGATTAGACTAAGATATACCACCAACTCATGAAATCGCCAACTATCAATTTAAATACATTTTAAGGAAGTGTAGATTGCCTAGTTTCTTGGTTTTCAAGGTATTAGTTTTCAAGAGTGAAGTTGACTCAAAATCGGATTACACTTGCACAGATGTATTTATTGTTTATCGTCTTTGAAAATCTAACATCTTATCAAACTTCATATATTTATTCTCATTCCTCTCATATAGTTTTTCTACACTTTATTATGATTTCATATATTTTCACTTAACCTACGTATACTGTTAAAAACTTAAGCGACGGGGGTCGATGCACTTTTATGCAAGATTTTACTTTAATTTGTCTGTTTCTTTTCTTTTTCGGTTCATCGTATTGCTCATATTGAAGTCGATGCAGCGAGAATTAAACATAGGATAATCTGTAACTGCCGAATCATAGACTTATGTATTATTATTAATGTTGTTATTAATACTATTATTATTATTGTTAAACGATTAATACACAAACCCTATTCTATGATGAGTTTTTTACGTGACAGTAAACTGATTCAGAATTTTTGTTACAAAGTGTAAGTAATCATTATTGTTGTTTTGCTATGAATGGAATATTCTCGCTTCTGTTTTGCTTATCCTATTCTCGGAGAAAACTAAATAATTTCACAATACCTTGCTTAAATAATTACCTATATCTAGGGTACATTGAGTTAGGGCTAATGGAAGTACCAAGTAACAAACTATTCCACATCCAGCCGTTAATATCAGTTCATAGATATTTCTGGAAATCTATTCACCCCCTCTGACTACCTGTAGATAGTCTACCCCTCCCCATCCCTTTAATATATTGGGGTATCTATCCTATTCTTCTAACTGGTTTGCTGAACATAAATCTACAATTTTGTTGTAAAAGATATTTAGGGGTAGTATTCATTATGGACTGACTACCTCTAAATTAAAAATCCCCATTCATCTCACAAAAGTAAAAGATATTTGTTTCATCATAACTTGATTTATAACAGATTAGCCACAAGAAGTTAGAGTGAGTATATGGATTTCTAAGGTATGTAGGAGCTATGACTTGTTTGTGTAGACTGTTGATTCCCAATCGATGGGTCACGGGTTCAAACTCTCCACCCACCAGTGTGTGACTTATTGCGTAGTGTACAAAGTTGCTGAAGGCGTTTCTCTCCAACCCTAAAATATTTATTATGAAGTATGGAAAGAACATCTTGGAAGAATTAGCTATTCAGTTGTTTGAAAGAAGGTATTCATATGTCTTACATTCAAGGGCGATACAATACTCAGGATAATAGACATGAGGATCGAAGGAATACTAAAAGAAGTTTTCCTGCATTCAAACTTGTCTCAGTATATGATACCTTATACTCACTGAACCAGTTCAAGTTGAACAAATGCTCCTCTCACATCACCTCCAGTTGAGTTTATGGATTTACATACACTTGTGGTGTTGAGTATGTTGGAAGGACTGGGAGGGGAGCATCTGTTTGGCTCGCAGAACGTTTTCCAAAGAAGAAAGGAAATAAGATTATAACCATTGCAAATAGCGACCGCTTCATAGACACACGATATTACGTTGATAGCTGCTGTTATAAAGACGCTTTTAAATGGATCGCAACTGTCATTTCTTCATAGCTTACTTAAGGTGTTAGCTGGTATCGGTTGTTCGTTTTCTTACCCTTCCCCCCCCCCTCTTCGGCCATACAATTATTGAACATCCTATTACAAATCCTACAAATTGACCATTGCTTTGATGTAAACCTTATAGTTGTTTATACTGGGTAATGGTTGAAGGTGAAATGAAAATTTGGACCGTGGCCGAATTCGGACCAGCTACGACCGGGTTTCCAGCCCGATGCTCTACCAACTGAGCTATGAGGTTCAACCGCGGTCCAAATTTTCATTCCACCTTCAATCATCACCCAGTATAAGTACTAATCTGCTAAACTACGACTATTTCAGATAGTCAAATGATTATAGTTGTGTGTTTTTCCACTCAATATCCTGGATCCCCTCATTTTAAATTTCCCTTATATGCTACTATCATAAAATATTTCATAGTATGTAAATGTACATAATTTTGTTCATATAACCATTATAATTTGAAACTATGCAGCTGACGAGTATTCGTAAAATAAGATGATATCATTTTATTGTGAAACTTTTGTTCATTTCGCTTTATCTAAATTTATATGCCTGAAATTCTGTGAATTCATCGTATTTCAGTTTGTGGTGGTGTGGTATTAGCTTGAAATCGTCAGTAGCAAGACAGATACACTCACCTGATATCTTGTTATTTTATTATCTGCTTTTTACTATTCATTCTTTTTTTGTCTAGATCATTTCAACCTTCCTCACTGATTTCAAATTCTGTATAACGATCAGTATTGACTACACAGAAGAAAATTTTCGGCGTTGTAGTAGAACGTTTTTACTGTGGTGAAGTATAGTTGCATATTAGTTCAGCTACTTGGTATAATACGCGTTGATGCAGTACCACTTTCTAGATGAACGCTGAAAAAACACAGGGTCATCTGAACAGAAATTTAAGTATGTTTGGCATGCGTCTCATGCCTGTTAAATGTAAGATGGTGCCCCAGGACTGGTCTGCTACTGCTCTTGGTGTAATAGTAGGGAGTGAAGTAGTGGATTGCATCGACCACTTCACTTACTTGGGGAGTTGCATTGACTCAAATGGATCGGTTGCTGACGAAATCTCTTAGCTGGGATGTAGAAGACCCGTCTGGCATTTGCCCACTTGCACCTTCTGTAGCCCCGACTGAGGGGATATCCGACTATCGATCAAAAGTTTAGTATACTGCGCTACAATTCGTTCTTGCCTGTTGTACGGCTGAAAGACATGGCCGTTATAAGTAGAAAACATAAAGCGGTTGCAGGGTTTTGACCACAGGTGTCTTTATAGCATTGCTCGTGTATGGTGGAATCACCATATGGGCGATTTTGATGTCAGGCAGAGGGTGATAGATAAGTCGGTTGATGAGGTTGTTAACTCCTATTTACTGAGGTAGTTTGGACATGTGTTACGCATAACGAGTCACCTTCTTACCTGAACGTGCCATTCTAGAGAAAGTTGTATTAGGTTGAAAGAGGGTTCAGGGTGACCAGACCAAGACCTGGTACCAGTTGACAAAGTTCCTGACTGTTGGTTTGAGCCGCGTAGAGAGATGCAGACTCCCTGTCTGGGGTCTCCGAGACGATAGAAACCAGTGGTTGAGGACTGTTGGTGACATTGCTGGAAATCGGTCAGAGTGGTGCAGATGTATTTCACTCCTTGACATCTAAAGCTTGATTATTTGCACCAACCGTTAAGTTCAGATTTTCTATTCTCTCGTACAGTTTTGTTTACTATGATATCACTCTTATTCTATCCACCTGTTCTTTGTTCACTACAGTGAGTGTGGCAACTTGAACCTGTTCACTTCTATGCGAGGTTTTCCGTTGATTTGTCTGTCTGTTTATTTACTGGATTATGCCTTGAACTCTATTATTCCTAGTCATATCATAGATTATGATACGTAGCGACAAAAAGCCAACCGATAGATCAAATCATGTTCAGATCATGACCAGGTCATGATTTATGCATGCACTGATATGATTACCTGATTGGAAAAATTCGACTACAAACAACAAATCGAATTGGTTCATTTATGGCTACATTTTTTGAGAGTTTGTAAATATATATTTACCATGTATTTGTCTAAAAAAGTCGTTGTCATTCTGCCGTCACAGAACGTCTTTTGTCTTCTGATTTTCACGGCTTAGTGAAGTATAGGGTGTAAGAGAGAACAGTCATATTACTCGTATTCAGTCCGAGTATCTTGTTGCGTTATCTCGTTCGCTTATTATTTGAACCCATGTACTAGCCCAACTCAGACATATCAGATTATAAATTGTTTCTGCAACATTATCCAGGAAAAATTACTGCACTTTTGCATATTTTATTGAATACAGAGACTGACATCAATCATGTTCTGAATCTAACTCGTGGTTACTTTTGTGAACCATTCAATCTCTATGCATCACGCAAATTAAAAACTAAAACAAAATGAAAACGCTGACACATTACTTACCTTGGATGCGTATGCAGGAACGAGATATAATTAGCGTCAGTTACTTTAATCATGTAAACAGTCGGTTTTATTTATTTGTACTTGATATATCTCAGAAATGACGGATTTGTTGATTAATTTCAATAGAAATCAGTAAGTGGATGACTCTAGATAACCCATAATTGTTCATACTCACTTTTCTTCAATCTTGTTGCAAACATTCAACATCTTTTTCGTGACAAAATTCTTTTCAGTAGGTATTCTTGAGAATTGACATAAGTTGGAGAAACATTGGTCCTCGATTATATCCTTGACAAGGTCATAGGTACACACTACTGAGGAGTCCCATTCTAGGACGAAACAGCTGTCCAGTGCTCTTAGGTTTCCAATGTTTCTCCAAATAATTTCAGTTCACGACGAATACCTACTTGAAATCAATAAATCCCTCCAAACCCTCAAGTTGAAAATTCTTTCTTCCACTCGTATCTGCTTTCGTTGGCTTTTTCATATTTTATTCCTTTTGGTTTTATCGTTTCACAGTTCGAAGGGAAATGCACTCAACAAGTTGGCATACGTTCATGAAGTAGGCAATGAGCCACACCTATTGTATACGAGATTTTGGTGAACCTGGCAGTTAAAACTAAGATAGTTGGAGTAGACTTCAAACCTGTAAACCGCTAGTTTAAAGTTGAGTGCTTATAGCAATTGGTGAAAGCCGTATTTGTCGGTATGCAGTTTAACTTTATTGGAAATTAGATCACTGAAGTACTCACCAGTGTTTTTCTTTGTTGAGTTAGTCAGTCAGTTAATGGAAGATGATGGCTTTATTGCATAACTTGTACATGCCGACAAACGTATACAAGAATGTTTTCCCTGTAATCTGGATTTCACTTAATTGTGTTTCTTATTGGTTTTTAAAACGATCTATTTCATTTTTTAGTCGTAGAGCACAGTCATTACAACCGGCTAATAAACCATTTGCATTTAAAGTTAGCGAAGAACAACCAAAGACTGGTGGTGTAGCACGATTACGTCTACGATTACTTCGATTTCTTCTGCACTCTGACACGCATTATTCCTCTTGTCGTTTATTGGATAAGTGTCCTTATGATGGATTTTTTGAAGAACGTGCCTTACTATTGGCTAACTTGAATAAACATGAACAAGTAAGAACCTTGTTAATTGTGTAATTCTACTGTAATTTCATATTTGTTCATTGCACATATTTTAAGTGAAAGTTAGACTTAAATAATTGATTGCCCGTGCTGATTAAGATCTCAGGAAATGCGTATAATCAAATAATGAGAGTTATTCTTAGAACTATGCATCAAGCCATTCATAATCACTCTAATGGCTAACTATGCTATTTTCCATAATTTTTTTCGTCTTCATCTCAACTGTAAGATGTCAAGTGGTTGGGGCAGTGACCAACTTAACGTGATTTATGACTATTGTAACACCATAATTCATGTCCTAACAATGAAAAACACAAAAGTGCACGGCGAAAGAAGGCCAAAATTTGAGATAAAATAGATTAGCAGACATTATATTGACGTTGGTTACTAACAGAGGAATCCAGGATGCGTGCTTTGTCCTATTTGAAACTCATCAGCTGGATGTACCTTCACCCTAGTGAGTGATGTTGTTCCCACTGAGGCACGAACCTAGTACCCTGCACTTCAGACACCAGAGCGTTATCAACTGGGGGCATGGTAGCCACTTCTTTTGCAACGGTTATCAGTTGTTGTAATGATACTTTTAATTACCCCATGCTATACATGGTCAAGTTGCTGGACTGTCAAAGATTACTTAAAAAAGACGGAATAGTCATGCTATAAATCTATGCAAATGTAAAATTACTAAATGTAACCACATTATTATTGAATTTACAGCATGCTACTGACGTTGTTTATTCGAACTAATATTCGTTTCTTAAGAGGTAGCTGTTGTAACTCAGTAACCTGATGGATAGGTGTCAAATCCGTGTCTCAATGAGAAAAACATCACTGATTAAAATGCAGGTACATCCAGCTGACGAATTCCGAACAGTTCGGAAGGCGCTTTTTGGATTCGACTGCTAACTATCAATAACTAAATTACAGTATGTCACTGGTGACGTGTAATTTTAGATTTCTGTTGTCTCTTCAACCTATTGTTGGCAACTTCCAAATGATACACATATACACACATGAATTTTGATTTTGCTTCTTTGTAATTACCATGTAACAATTAATAATAACGCACCTGGCGTATATGACAATATTTTGAACAAACATTATGGATATTTAAGTCGCTTGTTTGTAAACTGAGGATTGAAATCATTACAAAAACTACTGTAGATTAAGCAATATTGCTCAGCTGTTTCATTTTCATCTTTGCCTTTCCATCAGCATTCGGTATCGTCTTCTACAAGGTTGGACTAGAATACCAATGGTGGACATTTTTTATTCTAAGCTATTCATTAATTAATGTCTATTTTTGGACATGAATTTCGTGAATTTTTCATGAGTAAATAAGGTTCAAGTGGTCATCAAAGTCTTATTTCCTCGAAAATCACCCTAAATAACGAATGGACCGAAATTGAAATCTTCAGAGTCACTGGTTATGAGAGCAAAGCGATCGCGATGATGAGTATCATTCATAGAATAGCGTAAGGGGTTTCCATGTTATTCACTAATACGTAGTCTTTAGTTATTCGTTTTCAAATGGATATAATTGTTTGTTCACAAGTTATCTACAGATTACATATATTGTCTGCTTCTTGTATTTTCTCAAGCAATCAAAGGTAGGTAAATATTCAACTAAAGTTTATTTTGATCAAGTGTCTTATAGAAAAATGTGAACCCTATTAGATTCCGACTTAGAAGCTAAATGACAACGTATTCGTTGAGAAATTTGATCATCTTATGCTCAAAATTGTATACAATCTAGGATTCCTGCTGATAAGAACTTTCAAATTACGTTTAAGATATCAGCCTCAGTGCTTCTCAGTTTCCAACAGTTCTTTAACTTGTTTCAACTTATAACGAAGCTACCTTTATAACTAACATATAAAAATATGTCACTTTGTTGAAACACCTGGTCTACTTCATCAATATCTTCATTTTTCTTTTCTACTTTTTTATAGGCCATTTCACTATGGGTTCACTTATTAGACGACTGGAATAGAGCTGTGAATCACTGTGTACATGTTTATCAAAGAAGTGAATCTTTCCATGATAAAACTAATCAAAATGATAATGATTATACAGAGATTGGTAATGTATATACAGATTATGGTGGTGTCAGTGAAAAAAGTAATTATGGTGTTGGTAGTGGAACAACCGGAGAAAAACTTTCGTTATCATCTTCATCATACATTCATAGTTCATCAATTTCATTAGCTAATTCACCATCATTGGATAACATTGTTTTAAACAACAAAACAGACAATTTTAAAAATAAAGAAACGCTTATCCATCATACTAATAACAATAGTGATACAGATATATTTTTTGTACTTATGCAAATCTGTCTTCAACCTGCAGAACCTGCTACTTTGGGCATTGTTTTACCCTGTAAGTTGTTTTTGAGGTTTCCTTTCTTTTCCTAATATCTGGTTACTTGTTTGAGATGTAGAATTTTCGCTGTTGTTAAGATTGCACGTGTTGACAGATATCAACCGCTTGATGTACAGCGTATTCTCCCAAACTGTGATATTTCACTCACCGAGATAAGAAGAAAGCTATATTCCCTGCTTTCTCAGGCTTGTTAAAAAAACATTTTTCAACTTTGAGTGTATTATTTATCCTTCAGGAATTCGAATATGTATCATTAAGGCATCGTAGTTATATTTAGGTTAAATCTAAATAAATCTAACCATGACTAACTGTAGGGTTGAACTATGTACATTGGGATTGGTCAGTACAGTGTTCTTATAGTTGTTCATGTGTTAGAAAAAAGGTTCAACCTACTATATATACCTTTTTATTCATTATCCTGTCTTCCTAGTTTTAGTTTTATGAGTCTACGGTTACTATTCAACTGGCATCTCACTAGGAGGTAGAATGGCCAATCGATGAAAGTAAAAAAATACTCACCAAGACTACCGTGACAATACTTATTTGTTTAAACAAGTTATTACTGTAATGCCAATAGAGACCGATCAATTCGGTCCAATTAACGACGGTATAATACAAGCAATTATACCAAGTTATTACTATTATAAATTCTCGCTTTTTTTGATCAAATAAATCGCTGCATTAGCTGGTATAGTTTACTCACCTGCAGCCTATCACTACTAGTTACGTCATAGTTTTACAAACTGCTCAATCCATCAAACCTTGTGCAATCAGGCAACACCTTTAGCCTGCTGAGTTACACTATTCAACTTGCATTGTTCCATTCCAGTGTATCTGATCATTGTATCCAGAGTGGCTGCCAGCTATCTTTCCAGTTGAAAACGCATTTCTGGATGATATTAGCTTTCTCTTTTCGTAAACGGGTATAGTCATTATCATAGTTGAAGTCCACTTAATTGTAGCTTTTTAGTGTTACAAACACACTGAAAGTTATGAGACACATGCTTCTTATATTAAAGCTGATTATAATTCTTAGATGTTAGTTGGATAAAGGCAATCGGCAGGAAGCCGTGGGAGCTAGATTTTGTGCTTGTTAGCACTCGTCAGCAAGCCGTATCAGCAATCTCTATGGAACTGATATCTCGCCAGAGATTCGGACCCGCGTCACCCGGGGTTGTAGTCAGCGACTTTAACACTGAGCTATTCAGTCATCGACCTACCTCCTGTAGGATTGGATTGGATACATTGATTGGTCACTAGAGAGACGTCAGTCCCATGGAGATTGTAGATACGCTTTGCTGATGAGTGCCAACAAGCAGCAAACCGGGGTCGCAGGTCTTCCTGCCGATTGCCTCCATCCAACTAACATCTATCAAAGTGCATCGTAATGTTGAGCTACCTAGTCTGGTGTGCACATTGCAAAATGGTCTATAGAATTCGATCACCACTTAGGACTAGACAACATCAAGTTGGTTACTCTCCAGTGACCAGACAATGTGATTGTACTTCTACTTGATGGCCTAGACCTCAGTATGTGTTGTAGGTTTTGAACTTGTGACCCACTGGTCAGTAGTCGAGTATTTAAGTTATTGTTATCGCATCTACAAGGAAATTAAAACTAGTGTTTACTAAATTAAGGTCATTTGCATTACTGTAAACATATCATTGTTATTTTTTAGAAATGAAGGTCACATATCTCATGAAGAACACTAAAAAACGTTGATTTTGATTGATATCTTTTTTCTGGATCTTGGAATTACAAATTATATCAGAAGAGAAAATTTCAGAACTTTTCTACCATCGACTAATGCTGAAATACTGTATTACCAGGGCTAATAGGTATCGAAAGTACTCTTATGTAGTCGGAGGTGGTTGTACTGGAAATGATCACCAATCTTATGCCATTAAAAAACCCTGTTGCCAAAACCTTAAACTCAAAATTCCCATCTATTTAAATATGCTCTGGCTTTTTAGGATATTTCATCACAATGTCTCATGACTTGATGTTAGGTAGCAAAGACTTGATTGTTCTTTGAAAAATTATCCGATTTCATTTGTTGATTTGCTACTTCATTGGCTTGACGATAGTTTTTAAACGCAAGTTGACATCAACTGGTTAGCCATTGCAAGTACTAAGCACTGAACAGTTTCGCCTTGCCCAAATATGAACTTCCTAAGTAGTGCGCATGTATCCGCTACTGAGAAACATAACCGCCAATCTTTGAATCTCGCTAGCCAAATAAGAGTTGTTTCACTCACTCGAAACACATTCATCTCACAGAGAAGCCGAATGGTTCAAAGCAAATAAATCCAGCAGGCTGACTTGTATGAACCCGTATAGCATTTAATATATGATCAATTGTCACATTATTCTCAATTCACCTTATCCACGTTGATATTTTTCACAGCTGAATAGGTATTCAACTGATGAAAACCATCTAGCTGAAATCGCAAATTGACATCTATGTCAGAAAAGTATAATGAAGTAACAAAATATACTGCTGAATAGTATGAGTAATCAGAAACTACTGATACTGATTTGCGAATTTCGTTTTACACATCCGAATGGTCTGAACTTTATACTACTGTTCTTCTCATTCAAGAACAAGGTCATCAGCGGTGTACTCATGCATGTATGTGTTGACTTCCATTTTCATGACATTGGTATGTCTATATTAATGATGGGAAGTGGATAGCAGTCGAACCCAGGACGCGCCTTTCGTCCTATTTAGGACTCGTCAGCTGGACGCATCTGCACCCCAGTGAGTATCGTCCCGACTGGGACTTGGGATCGATCACCTCAAACGCCAGAGCGTTATCCACCAAGCCATGATAGCCACTTTCTTGTGCGACGGGCATAGTTTTAATATTTTACAGGCTAGCCACTATCCATCATTACCATATAATTAATATACAGACAATAACGAGACATCCGGGCAGGAGCCCATATACCAGTAGAGACCTGTCAGTTCGGTCCAATCAACAAGCAACAACAATAATAGTATTATTTTTGAAATAATCGTGAAAAAACCCAGTGGTTAACTTTTTGTTTTCCAAACTCACAAAGTTTGTATCGCAACTTAACCGATATTGTATATGTCATCACTGAACATCAGCGCAAATTAAAATATGTTTTGTATCATATATTGACTGGTATAAGAGGACAGCAGCTACTAATGGTAATTTTATAAAAAGCACGGAGTTCTGCAACTAAAATAGGACATCTATCTATTACTCCCCGGTGTACTGTTTTTATTTAAGATTTTCTTCAAGTAATTAAAAAAATCTTACCTGTTAACTTACTACTTTTGTAAGTTAAAAAGTGTAATATCGTATTTGGGTATCTCATTTTATAATTAGCTGTATAAATTTCACTTTCAGCATCATCTCCCTCTAAATTCACTCCGAAAACAAAGAAAGCTCTTGAAATCTTACATCAATTTAGTACATTTATCGATCCTATTAAAGTGATACGAATAATGCCTACAGTTGGCATAAGTTCTGTTGGAGATTACTTAAAGGTATGCAGTCGTGGTATCATTTTGTTTAATCGTATTACTCTTTTAAGCAACTTCATTTTCTTATGGATTATTATCCATCAGTTTGTTAGGAAAAAATAGAGAAATTATTATCGCTTTCATATAGTTTTATTTTCTACAGTTATCGTTATACAACATATTACTGTTCACTTTTACATTCCTAAACAAAGATTTTATTGATTGACTGCAAAATACGTACCATTGAGTTAGATAAAGCTTTATTCTCTAGTACTCTTTCCTGTAAATACTTATCACTTTGATGCATTATACCAGCTTGCCTATAAAATCGATTCTTTTGAGTTAAATTAGCTAAAACACACATTATGCATGATCTCATCAATTGGGAAAAGTTCATTAAAGAAACTTAAAAGTGATATCAACACGTTCTGTAGACGATAAAATCACATAATGACTAAGATTACAGATTGCATCATTAATACTACCGTCTACACCAAGCAAAAAGATTGAGAGAAAATTAGAAGCAATTCAGTGTCTTATACAAAATTTACTTAACTTTAATTATGATTACCAGAAATCCTGAATTTTACGCTAGTTTTTTGTACAATAAAAAAGTACTTTCTCTAGTTATTATACAGACAGACAAAATCAATATATAACCTTGTATACTAGTGCATCGGTCCATGTTGCCAAACTTTGCAACAATACACAAACAAGGAATGGATAGAAAAAGAGTGATATCGAAGGACACAAAGTTGTGTGACAAAATAAACAACCTGAAGATGAAGGTTAGCGAGAATAGTCAAGCTTTAGATGTCAAAGAGTGAATAAGTCTTCGACATTGTGACCAGTTTTCAACCATCTTACCAAAAGTTAGTCGTCAACCACTGGTTCGTTTCATCTCGGGCAGTCTACATCTCCCCAAACAACTCAGACTAACAATAAGAGACTTCATTGGCTAGTGCCACGTCTTGGTCTGGCCACTCTGAACCTTCTTCCAACCTAATTCAACTTCCCGTAGGATGGCAAGTCAAGGTAGTTAGTAGCTCAGTATCTGCAGTATATATCTAAGCCATCTTAGTCAACTAAGGTTCACAACCTCATCAATCGACTTGCCTACCTCACCTAGTGCTCTTCGACCAATTTCGGCACTGTTCACACGGTTACTCCAGCAAACGCGAACAATATTACGAAGACGTCTGTTATTATACACTTTTATTGAAGGTCTTTAAGTGATAAAATTAAATTTCACAATCAATATTAGCAAATGAATACACTTTAAAGCTTAATTTATTCTCTTGTGATAAAAAAAGGAATATCATAAATGGAATGTATACTTGTGGCACGCACAAAATTTAGGAATAGTCACTTTACGGTTATGTGGAAGTTTTTATTTCTAATTTTTCATAGTAGCATCTTAACTAACTTATATGCTAAATATTTTCACTTCATTTCTGCCATTTTATTCGTTATGTGACACTTGTTATAATTCGATAAAACATTGTTTTGTTTTCTCTCTCTTTTTTCTTATCCTTCCCAGAACATGTTTATATGTCAAGACAGTTCATTAACTCAGTTAGTTTTCCTTCAAAATGCTGCTAAAGCTGAGTTGATTGCTTCATGTACAGATCGGATAAAAGCCACAAGTAGTTATATTTCAGTTCTATCATCTACACGTTGTCGAACATGTCGACGACGTATTGGAAATAGTGCTTTTGTTAAACAACCAACAAACGATGAATTAGAACATTATGGATGTTCTATAGATTTAGTTCATAATGCTAAAAGTAATAACCAAATAAATAGTTACAACAGATGAATAACTTTCTATTTTCATCTTTATTTTTCATTTTGTAATTTTATCTCCTTTTTCTTTTCTCTCTTTCTCTCTGCGTCTCACTGATTTCAAGCTACAAGCATAATTTTATACAATATAGAAGTATACTACATATTTATTTATGATATCAAGTGATTAACAAATTCTTTTTTATATGTTACCAATTTTAAAGCTTGAAGGATATACGAAATGTTAAGTTACACTTGATTTCTTCCACACAATTAGTTCATACATATTGGGAAGTCCATATTGTGGTAAATATTTTTAGGTTAGTGGATTAATATTCCTCTAGTGTTAGTACTTCTATAAGCCGAAGTTGAAGTAAATCTAGGGGAGCATTATCAGAATGGTTAACTGTTTTTTTTTATGAACATACTTCATGCTTACTATGGCTCACTTATCTTGACTTTCGATTACCTACTAATAGACTACAAGTTTGATGAAACTCACCAAGCTACATTTGTTTGAATAGCAATTTAGCATACATACGTAATAACTGGAAAGATTTAATACAATCTATTACATGAAGCTATATGTGATGACTTAGTAGTATTTTTTACTTCTCGGAGCCATATCTATCCTACCGGTTTATCTTCATATACAGGTATATGGTGTTGGTCCTTGATGTATGAACCAGTGGTTTGGTGCTAGCGTTTAGGTTACGTAAGAAATTGCACTTATTTGTTTGACATCATGTGAATCCCTCAACGTCGCTATGAAACACGACTATATATATTTTCTAGATATATTTTCACCGTGTTAAAGTTGTTATATCCTTGTATTGACTACTTGATATGACCTGTATATATGGACGCTTGAACAATAGCCTTCAAATTCCACAGATGGATGGTCGCTCAGTTCCTCGATAAATGGAAAGGGCGTTGAAATAACAGAAGGTGTATTGAAACGTCAAAAATACATCCAAATACAGTGGTTTATATATATTTACAGTGGCTATAGCTATCTTCAGACTTTTCTTGATTTGAGTGTCCTATCGATTTTTGTCCCTTCAACCAATCTGAAATTTACACGTTGGTTCATGTGCTTTTTCCTGACACTTCGGAGCTAAAAGATTTGTTGTAAAAACATTCAGGGATTTAGGGCTTTTTATAAAAATCGTGGCAATCCTACTCCACTTCCCCTTGAAATAGATATAGACAGTACAATAGTGTTTTGTGGTTGACGGACAACTTTTTACTGGATCATGAAAAATTATTCTCTAATGATCTGCTGAACCAAGTTCATTTAGGCCTGCCTGAACAACTAATATGCTCATTAGCAACCGTCTTTCACGTATGGATTTCTCACGATCGACCTTGCTGCGTTTCTGGAAGTCTTTAGTCATCTGCCTGCATTTCAGATTAGTCCTCTGTAAACTGCTTGGAGTTTGTCGACAAATCCTATGAAACCATGCATTAACTCAACTGGGCAGGTAGTGTTGTCATACTCTTCTGGTTCTAGTTACAAGCAAGCCTGGGCGTTGTAAATGAAACCCTAAGATTTTGTATCCACTTTGAGCCAGAGTAATCTAGGAGTAGTTGATCTAATTGATAAGATACTCTGTTACGCGATAAATTGCCGTAGCCAACTCCAAAGTATATTACCGAGATGATATGCTTCTGACCGCCTGATGCAATGTGAGCGACCTATGGATTCTGGGTTTTCCAGTTCCTTGCTGGTTAGTAGACGCAACTTTTGAAGCGAAAGTGACTTGCAGATGATCCTCAAATTCACTGGCTCGATATGGTTGTCCACTATCATACAAAGCAACTAATACATTTGAAGTGTGTAAAGGGGTTTTGAACTTCCCTGATTATCCGTATAATTCTTAACTTTGATGCTTTGGCTTGCAATGTAACTCACTGAGAACTATTCTTTAATATTTAGTATACGATTTAGTTTTAGAAGGGTTGGATGACAGTAAACATCTTACATCACTTTTCAAACTCTCTGAAAGTACTTCTTGGTTTTCATTGACATGATCTGATCGAACGTTCGTCCCATTTAATGTCTGATGGGAAATAGAGGATTTACTATCATTCATCAATATAACGTGATCCATATTATCAGGCTTCGTTGACTCAATTTCATCTTAATTATATCCATCATTGAAGTATTTATCGAGTCTTTTTCAAAATCTCGGGACTTATGGAAGCAGATTCTGGATGAATGTCACCCAGAATTTGATTGAATTTCTCAGTAATTCTCAGTGTTACAGCTTCCATTCTTTCTTCATAGCGTTGCAAAAATGCTTGAAGTTCTTTATTAGAAAAGGTTCTTTTTATTTTTTTACCCGTCGCCGCTTGCTTGAAGCAAAACCAATCATGAAGTCTTAACTAATATATGATTGCAGTATGAGTAATAAAAAGAAAACCAGTTTGATAAATTATCAAGATCAACATAAAACCAGGCATTACTGCGTAACGGTCTAAGTTGCCACACCTCATGTCAGCACATGAGGTAACAAAGCAATAAAATGGAAAATGGAGAAAAAAAGATCGGTCTAAGGAAGTAGAAGTGGGAAGTAGTAAAAAGAAGAGGAAAGAATGAGAAGATAATGAGATTAAGTATGTCAGTTAATGTGAGGATAATGTGTGTATGCATCTGCGCCACTGACATCGGTTCTGAGCCATATTACCTAGAGTCTCCAACCACTGGTTCCTCTGGTCCCGCACACCCCAACTAGCCACCCTACATGGCTCAAAGGAACGGTCAAGGACTTCATGCCTTAAAGCCATGTTTTAGTCTGGCCACCCTGAGTCTTTTTCCAGCCTGAACCTGTTCGGCCAATGGTGTGCTACGAGACAGATAGTGGCTACGCATAGGAAACATATGTCCCAGCCATCTCAGTTAACGAAGATTCACAACCATACCATTTGTCTTACCTCTCCTGCCTAAAACTGTAAGCCTGAATTCTGCGTTACTCACATAGTGACACCATGAAACACGGCCCATGCTACGAAGGTAGTTTGATAAAATATCATTCGAAATATATGTATCTAAATACTGATAAATATTATTCACGGTTATTATTCTCAGCATTCGTTTACAACTCTAGACGAGACATGAATTCTTAAAAAACACTAAATCTGTTTCACTTTCCCCGTGTAAGACTGTACTATATTTCACATTTCTAACCAGAGTACTAAAAACTTATTTCAGACAGTATCAGTATAGTAGTTTACTCAGTCTAGTATTTTATTAATGCTTTATATCGGTTGCAAAAACACCCACGAAACCAAATGAAGGACAAGGTGAAATCGAAAAACGTTAATCACAGGCAAAAATGAAATAGTTCATTTTTGAAAAAGTAAAACATTCTGTGGCAAGCAAAATTTATCTACATGTCCATTGCTGCATCATTTGTATAAGTAGCATAAGGAACAGATACTAAGTCTTGTCTATCATTTTTAACACATAGATAGTTTACTTTAAATTTAATCCATAGGCTTTTTACGACTTTATGCTTAGCTATACAAACAAAGATCATAAGTATCAAGGTGGCAATCAGTAGACCAATTAGAATACCAAATGTATGCCGAGATATATCTATCAAATGGTTGGATAAAAATTTTGCTCTTTTTTCACATCGATCTCCTGTCCATTCTCTTGGGCAATTACATCCAAGACATTTTGTTTCATGTAGAACTTCGTTCAGATTGCATGAAGTACACTGTCCATCATTGAAACAAAACGTTTTACAGTACTTGGTATTCATTTTTATATTGTCCGGATTTTCCAATTCTTATTTTGCCTGAAACAAAAGATAATCCTAAAGCAGTTGTTCGTTACGAAGAGAAGGGCTAAAAATATATATTTCTTTTTATTAGGAGCTGTTTACATTTAACTACATCATAATGTTTTTCTATTAGTTAAACAATGTCAGATTCAAACCCTTTTCAAATTATTCTATTTTATTAAACAGTAAATTAACTTGTGAATCATTCGATTTGAAGGTTTATGGGGATTTATCAAATTATTTCAGGTAGGTATTCATCACCGACTGATATCAATTAGAGAAAAACTGGAAACCTGGGAGCGCTGTACAGCCGTTTCGTCCTAGTGTGCGACTCCTAAGGAGTGCGCAGCCTCAACCCTACCAGGGATCAAACCCAAGACCTTCGGCTTCCGCCATCAGCACATTGCTTTTAAACCACTGGGTCGAAACGTTATGATTCTGGGTTAGATCCCTGGCGGGGTCATGGGTGTGCACTCCCGAAGAGTCCCATACTAGGACGAAACAGCTGTCCAGTGCTCCCACATTTCCAGTGTTTCTCCAACTGATGTCAGTCCATGATAAATACGAACCTGAAATTTATGAGTCACTAGACCATCACCTCAGACCATTCGTAAATCACATTTTAAATTTGCTGTGATACGATACGTTCTTATGCCCACTGGTTGGTCACTGGAGGCGTAACCAACTTCATGTTGTCTAGTGCTGATCGAATTCTGTCGGTCCTTTTGCAGTATGGCCACCAAGCTAGGAGACTCATCATCCCAATGTACTGGGATAGACATTAGTTGGATGGGGGCAGTCAACAGAAAGTCCTGCTTGGCCAAGGTTTCGTACTTTTTGACACTCAATGGAACTGATGTTCCGCCGGAGACTCGTACCCACATCAACCAGTACTGCGGCCGGAGACGTTACTACTGATTTGTTCCGGTCAACGTACTCTACGCTGAGTCAAAGAACATATCATCACCTCGCTTAATAACTTCAGTACTTTTGCTTTCTCAACTACCAATATTCAAACCGAAAGAATATGAAATCTAAGCAGTAGCCATATTGCCCATAATGATAAGAAGTATATGCTTTTTAACATACTGTTGGATACTGGATACGACAACATCAATCAAACAATATGGAAAGATGAAGTGGTAAGCAGGGAGAAAAATGTGTCTAGAATGATATGGTGTTCAGTACTTTATATGAGAAAGACAAGAACATCTCTTATACTTGCATTAACATCTATTTTGCAGACTCTCAACAGACACTGTACAATTCCTTCATTTGGCTGCTGTCAAGAGGCAACGACTTCAAAGACTTATGCTGCTTCTCTATTTGAACAAAAGAACGTTCCTACTTTCTTGCTAAGACTATTAATAAATGGTGTGCAATTAGTCACTGAGTACGCATAACCCATGGTCCAACCACTCCATTAGATATCATTCTACAACTGTATGAACTAAATTACTGTCATCAAACAAAATGCTTAACCAAGATTTACTTTAAATACATTTGTAACGAATATACACGCACAATGGTGCCATATTATAATATTTTTAGCAAAACTACTGCCAGTTATCACACTAATATTTTCTAAGGTCCCACTGCCTTGATTACATACCAATCAGGTTGGACTTTCTATAGAGTCATATTGCATATATCATAGTCTTACTTTGTACAGAGTCTCCTGTCAAGACATTATCAAACTCTGAGGAACCCCTTACGTGACCACTAAAATGACCATGTTTTTCTTCACAAACCCTTCTAATCCCATGGAAATTGAAATACGTTTACATATCCCATGTAATGTAGGTGAATATAAGTGGCTCTACTGTAAAAGACCGAGAATTTAGCGAAGATTTTGACCAGATAACAACTTGTTTGATACAAAAACCTGGGTACATATTTATGCGCAACCTGTTGACATTAATTCAGATATATAACTACAGAAGTGAATGGCCAGCCGCTACGCCCGTATGTTGCGCATCACATGAATCATTTCATTCAGGTCTTATATCAGTAGGAAAGTGCTTAGCAGATACCCAGAGCGACTTCATTGTTAGGAATAATTATCAGATTTATGCAGATAACTTTGACCATAAAACTTCTAATAAGTCTTAAAATCTCTGCGTTGCAGAAGCAACAAACTAGAAGTGCCTTATACGCAAACATTCGAGATCTTTTCTACAAGCTAGTTTAGACCAATAAGTTTCTCTGCACTTGGTCCATGATGTTGCAGAATGGTCCAATCGAGTGCCGTCGATCTAGTCACGTTAATTATTTAGCTCTAAAACATCCAGTGGCCGGTCGCATACTGGTTAAACTTGCATGGATGTGTGTGACCTATCCTAGAATATTGTCACTCCTGAGATCATGTGATAGACACTGACTGGCGAAATCAATGTAGAACGTCGCACACAGGTGCGTCGGCTCAAGTTGCTGCACTTCACAGTAGTACAGAAAGAACAGGTAGATAGAAAAAGAGTGACACGGAAGTTGTGTGAGGGAACAAAACGTCTGAGGATAAAGATTATTGTGAATATTCGCGCTTTAAAAGATGTCGATGAGTGAATACATCTGCGCCATTGTGACCAATTTTCAAACATGTCACCAAGGGTCTTCAACCGCTGATTCCTTTCGCCGCAAGCATCCTAATTAGGCAGTCTACATGACCCAGACCAACAGTCAGGGACTTCATGGACTTGATTTGGAAGCTTGGGGGGATTTCATTAATTTCAACTTAGTACTCATCATGAATACCAGCTTCATGGACTGTTGTCACGCATTAATCTGGCCACCCTGAACCCTCTTTAAACATGGCATATCGAGGTAGGCAGTGGATCGCCATGCACAGTATATGTCCAGGCTATCTCAGTCAACTGGAGTCAACAGTCTCATCGACCGACTTGTCTTCCTTGTCTAACACTCTCCACCTGACCTCAATACTGCTATTGCAGTGATTCCACCAAACACGAGGAATGCTACGAAGACACCTGTGATCAAAACCCTGTAATCGCCCCATATCGTCTACTTTCAGCGGCCGTCTCACAGCCGTGTAGCAGGACAGAACGGACTGCGGCGCAATATACTCCTTCTTTGATAGAGAGTCGGATATCTCGCCAATGGACGCCACAGATGACGCAAGTTGGCCAGTGTCAAACGTTACTTCTGTGTCTTAGCTGAGATTTCGTCAGCAACCAGCCAGTTTAGGCTGATGCACCAACCCAAGTAAGTGAACTGTTCGACATATCCCACCACTTCACTGCCTATCATTAGACTGGGAGTACTTGCAGCAGACCAGTCCCGAAGAATCATCTTACATTTAACAGGTACCAGCGACACGCGTGCCAAACTGGAATTTCCGCTCAATGCATCAACGTCTTCACCCACCACGACAATATCGTCTGTATACTCCAATCCAACCAGATGACCTCCAGAGAGTACATCAATACCTGTGAAGTCACACGTACCTCAGGTTATGCCCATTAGCACGTTTATGACGAAGTTGAATAGGGATGGTGACAATGGACATCGCTGGCGAACACCACTAGTTATCATTACATTCATATAATAACTCTCCATGAGCACTGGCACGGCTGCGTGATTTCGAGTAGACAGCTTTGGTTAGCTTTGCACACTTTTCCAGCACGTACACACTGCAACAATACCTCATAGTCGACAGAGTAGAATACTGTCTTCACGTCAACAAGTATAGCAAGCTTAAGGCGCTGGCTGGTAACTGTGCCTGTTTTCTAGAACGCGTCGTAGGGTGTAAATACGGCCGATGCACTCTCATCCAGGTCTGAAACTTGCCTGGTTTTCTCTAGTTCGCTGTTCTCGGGCTCAAGTCAGGCTTCAGATAACTAAGGACTGTAGGATATTCGATACGATTTCAGTCAAACGAATCCCCTATAACTGTCACAGAAAGACTTTTATCTCTTCTGATACACTTGAGTGGTCAGTGAAGTAGACTAGTCTGGCGGCACTACTTCTCATTCCCATACACTACTCAGTACCACCGTCACTCATGCTACCGATTTTCTACCTCCATCTTTGAAAACTTCAGGCTGCAAGCTGTCAGATCCTGCTGCTGTTGTTTTGCATCGTTTCAGGTTCGATACAGCATTCTCGACTTCAAGGAAATTTGGAGGACCGACATTTATTTTCCACTCAGATTCAGGCTGGATGTTGGGCAACTGTAGCGTTGCTGAGGGTCAGTTGAACTGTGCTTCGAAGTGTTCTGCCCAACGTTCTAGACGCCTGTCCTGGGAGGTTATCACCGTTCCATCCCTCTCGGTGGTGCTTTCTCACACCATCCTCTTTTATGGGATTGCATCCCGAGACAGACGCTCAGATTAGTCTGAAATAAATGTCGAGACTTATGTACTCACAAAAATGTTCTTAGGAAGAGAAGACGATAGGATTGTCGGGTGTTAAATGTAATGCTGAAGAGACAACGCAAGAAAATAGAGGGAGAATAGGAAAGCGAGGAGTAAAAGGTCCGGTACGGACAGTACTATCATAAACAATGAACAGGATCAGTAACAAAAGAAAAGAGAAGGAAGGAGAACTATAGGTTACCAATTCATCCTCTCGGTTTAATCGTTATAGTGGTTAGACCAGCGCAATCCATGTAGCCCTGCATGGCTATCCAACATTTAATGGAGCTGCCGACAAGTAAAGTGCTGGAAGTATCAGCTGGCAGAAATTTCCACTCTAGAAGCTGTAGACAAGAAATAAAATGTATGACTGCAGATAAGATTTCGATCTTTGGCTAGTGGTTCCACCTGTATTCTCATGAAGGTAACTGTAGCAATCATAAAACAGTATTTCACAGTTCTGATGGTACGCAATACTCAAAATCTTATAAGCCGCTGCAAAGTCACCTCATAGTCTTCGGTAAATAGAATTATAAATGACTGTATCAAGAAGCCCACTTTTATATAACTTGCGTCACAGCGATACAACATCTGTCGGTCAACTTCGAACTCTTTCTCCGTGTGAATGTGCGATAACACTGTCAACATAGAAATGAGGTAGGATATATATCAAACAGAGTTATGAAGGACGTTATCGATGCGCAATCTGAAACAATACATAGGTCTCTGTGGCACCTCTGAGTAGTTTAGGCTAGTATCAAGGTTTTCTGCGATTTTCCCGTTTACTGGTAACTCGAATTCCGTCACTGACCAGACAACTAGGGTAGCATCGGCAACACAAAATAATCAGAGTTCTTATTTAATACTTTTGTATGATCAGGACTAGTCCATATGTAATTCTAAGGTATTTCTGTGCAAAAAAAGTGGTCGAATTAACTTAGTGTGAGTTCATGCTTCTCACGTAGATTGATCAACAACCAAACCTCCTAAGTCGAACAATTGGTATCAGCTCCTTCGTTAAAAGCATCCAAGGACAAACTAAATCTTCACAGAGACCTTCTGTAGCGACTAACACAAGCGAACTTGGTCTACTACCCTAATTACTGAAAACTAATTGTTCCATTTCAACACTGAGCCGGGAACGGATTAAATAAGCAAAATATCTATGAAACTACTCTTATTCTAGGTTTAGTTTAATGTCCTCTTTGTGAGAGATTATTTGCTGAGCTTAGAAGAATCTTAAGATTTACAGTCTGGTAAACATTACCCGACAAAAGTTAGAATTATCTTCCCAAGAATATGTTCCAGCGACATGAGGATTTAAGTGCCAGTGACATGTTATTTATCAAAATCTGGAAATTCGCCATTTAGTCATACTTAAAGTGCTATTATTTAGAAATTATCCCCTTATGGGAGGAATAAAGTGTTTTATCTCGTTTAATTGACTGTAAGTCGTATTACTTTACTTTTTTTGCTTCAAAAATGTAAACACGCATCGATATTACACAAATTCGTGGTGAAAAAAATCAATCTTACACTCAACTCATATGCCCCACGAGATCACCGAAACATTTGAAAATGTTTCACTTAGTAGGTCATCCGGCTTCCAATGTCTGATGGCTTAACAACACCTAAAGCCAGTTGTGAGGGTATCGGAAATTTGTTTTTAGACTCTCTCATCTAGGCCTCAAGGTTCGGTTATTTTTGTTCGACTATACCTTATCTCTGGCCGCAGAAATCTGATCTATTTACCTGCTTGTTCCTTTGGATATAATGATTGTCTGTATGATCCAATATCCAATGTCTTTTTAACGAGCTTGTGTAAACTAGTTGATTTCTTCGCGCTCGTTTCTTGGTTCTGCGGAACGGCTCCAGATCTTTGGCGAATTGCGATGCAGTAGGTCCAGCCACTCGTCTGCTATAGCTCTGATTTACAGAACAGGAAGTTAAGTGTTGGTTTGTTTGCCTTGGACTGTGGTGCTGTTGGCTTCTTCAGATGTCGAGTTGCCAGACGGTTGTTAGGACTGGTCGCTAGGAAGGGTTGGGGATAGTGAAGAGAAGACCTAGAAAGTGTTTGTGTGAGTAAAAGAAAAGAGGAAAAGTGAGCTAATGGAGTAATCTACATACACCCAAATAAGGTGAGTAGGGGTGCAAAGGTATGAAGAACTTAGGTAAGTGAGGCCAACTTATGGCAAGTGGAAGGGGTGAAAAGGGCTTAAACGGTTACAATAGAAAGGAAACCGGTCAGGGTGGCTTGACATCACTTCGTATTCAAGCTATGCATGGGTAGACCGTGAGTCTCTGCATGACCGTCTAGCCTCTTCTTGAAACATTCAACAGTCGGGGCGGAGACCGCCTCTGCTGGTAGTGCGTTCCAGTGCCCACAGACTCGATGGGAGAAGAACTGTGAACGCACATGCGTTTTTGACCTCTGGTGCGCTATTCTATTAGGGTTTCCTCGAGGACCTCCGTAGTGGCCACTCGGTAGGACTCTTCCGTTTGGGTGACTTGGGTTACTCATTATTTTGTAAGCCATGACTAAGTCGCCACGTATCCTTCGATAGCTAAGAGAGTATAAACCTAGGTCTTTGAGTCTATCCTCATATGGTTTTCGTTGCACTCCAACAACCCCTTTTGTGGCTCGTCTCTGGACATGGTTTCCTTTCTTTATGTTATGGGCTTCATTGTACGGACAGCAACGAGGCTACTGGTTAGATCAAATGTTATTTCTCACTGCCTATCTTGGTAAGCATCTGCATGTGAGTTTCAAATGGTATTCGCAAGGTAGTGCGAAAGATAGAGTGAACAGAGAACTAGATGAGTGGAGTAAAACCTACTTATAGAAAATAAACGTTACTACTGATAACATGAAGAGGGTTTGGCTCATACTGCAGGTAATACGAGTGGGTAAGGAGGGGCTGGATGTGTAAACCCTCAATTTCTTCCACGTATGCTCACGTATCTATGGAGCATTCGTTTGAAAGAGTCAAATGATGTGACTTTGACTACCCACGTCGGCAAATCATTCCATACGGCGAACACCATGATGGAAAATAAGCTTAATCTGACTCTCATTTTGGCTTTCTGACGGGGTATACAAAGGGGTTCCCACGAGATTGGTAGTGTTGAACCTATAAAGTAATCCTGATGGGTGTTCGTTATGAGCCCGCTTAAATCAGCTACTTTTCCACGCACTCTTCCATTTCTTCGAGGAATTCTGTGGCCGAGATAAACCGTGAAGGTGCTTGAATTTTGCTTAAATTTGCGCCAGGATATAAGATTTGTCCTAGGATTGTGCTTCAGAGTGGTCTTCATATATTATATCGCAGTGCAATTTTTCGGTCTGGTCGAAAAAGGATAGGGTGATTTAGCAGGCAATCAAAGGACAGGAATGAGATAGGACATGATGAGGCTGAACAAGAAGAAAAGGATGGAAAGACTTTGGGTAAACTCCTGGCAAGAAGAAATGAGGCAGCGAAATGTTAGATTCATATGAATAAGGTCAATCGACGGAAGGCAGGGTCGATAAAAGAAGCAGCAAAATCACAGTAGACCAAGCAAAGTTAAAGATAGCGATGATGTTGATGATGATAACGGTAATAGTGAGGGAGTGCCTGGGGAGGAAGAACATCTAATGGTAAGAGGTCGTTCAACCATTTCCTTATTACTTGCTGCACCCAAAGAGAATCAGTGTGTACGGAACAAAGAGTTTTGGACCGATATGACGCCAGCTGCTCGTCCGAGGCTTATCCGTATCCCGAGTAGATAATTACGATTGGTGACTCACTGAGTAACTGTCCAAACGTTTCCTGAAACTGTTGATAGATGGAGCGGTGTTTATCCCAGCGTCAAAAATTTCCAGTTGCCACTTGACCACAGAGGAAAGAAGTGCACGCCTGGTTTAACTGTTTGCAGGGGGACCCTGCCTGTGCTAACGAGAGAATCCCCATTTGTCGGGATTGGGCATCACTCTGATATCTCTCACCTCCTCTTCAAGTGATCTATGGTCTCAACTTTAGTGCTTCGGTGGTCCTGATTAGATACCATAGGTCTCCTAACTGGACATTCCTTAGTGTGCAGCTGAAACAGATGGCCGATAAGCCACCGTTGAACACGTAGTGTCACATACTTCCCCCAAATCAGTGGCCTAGGGTTTGACGAGATTGAACATTGGTGCTGACCCTGATAGTTTGACCTGACTCGCTAAGCTGAAGGCACCCGGTCAAGCATCCTCGCCATCTGGCACTCTGTCGTGCTAAGTTGCACTGCTTGTATTCGATCCTGTAGCCAGTTAGTTGAAGCGCGTCGGTATCTTGGCAAAACCACCCAAATATACTATTCCATCCGACTACGCTATCGTGTTCTTCCTTGGTCTCGTATTCGTGGGTGCATAAAAAGGTGAATAATTAGTGATTGGTTTTTGCGTCTATCAAGTTCGCACCAGGACAATTCCTAAAGACATTCAAGAAGAGCGGAAGAGCAAGGGACTGGCAATAACTTGATGCCAACCAAGTTTAGATCACCAGGTTGAAATCTCGTTAGAAATTCCGACCAAGTTATCTTCAAAACAGTATAGAAGCCGATCACTTATGAAGAGTTGTGTCATTTCCCAAGGAAGAATAGTATGCATGACAGTGTTGATGAGTTCACACATCATGCAAAAGTCAACTGAATGAAGACATAAATAAACAATTACTCCATACTCAGGATATGAATTTATTATGTTTGAAACAGGCTTCCAGGAAACACACATAGTAGATACGTTTCCGACCACGAGACGGCAGGCCAAAAAGTTGAGAAGCCGTAGATAAAGCATTCATGCACGAAAACATGCGCAGAAAACACAAAACATCCAATGCCCACAATAAAACAAATTAAAGTGGAAAGCAAAACAAGCAATATAGAGCGTATTCACATGTTTCACAAGATAAAAGAAAGAATAGGAGCTGCCACAAGGGAATTAGTAGAAGTCTGTGAAATGACTGGTCACTGGAGATAACCCGATCGTATATACTTCAGTCCCGACAGCTGACCGAATTCCATCGGTCACCCCATGATGTGGCCACCGTGCCAAGAATTTCAGCATACTGAATCACATCAAATAGGTGTCAGTCAGATGTTGGCGATTGGCAGGTAGCCCTTGACCTAGGCCTCGTGCTTGTTTGCGCCCGTCAGCAAGATATACCTTCCACCCGGCTCGAATACTTCAGTGGCAAGTCCATTGACTGAAAAACTGACCGACGAAGATTTTAATCTCACAGGAGACATTGACTACCCCTGGATCCTAAGTACACCTCGCCAACAGACGCGAACAGGCTTGAAACCCGGGTGCGGGGATTCCCGCCGATTGCTTACAACCAGCTAATATCCACCGACAGCCGATATTTATTTTGGCGGCGTTGACGTAGTTAACAGACCACGGCACACACACACATTCTACGCACTGTCTCAGCACACACAGGCGGATATCGCCGCGTCGCGACGATTTACCGGCACGACACCTCCACAGCTTTACGACTACTATGCTAGAAGTTAGTCTTAATGCATTTACCTCTGCTGCTCTGGATGGCTTGAAGAGTACTAAGGTTGTTGGTACCTGTGATTGGGTGATGAGTTACTGAGCTGTTTTGAAGTTGGTGCCAAGGTTTCGGCAATCCTCAGCCTAGAAAGATGGTCCCTGGTTAGGCCTTCAATAAGGCACACTTGGCCTGTAGACTACCCCCTGCTATGGGTGGATAGGGGTCCCCGGGATTCATGTTGATTTTTTAGTCAACGTCTGCCTGGAACGACCTGCTGTCTCCCGATGTTATATCGATTTTTTCGGGCTACATGCAGGCTATGACCGGTCTCTTTTCCAGTCCCCGCTTGTTTCATGCCCTCCAATTGGCTCACAAAAGACACTCGGCGCCTGCTTTTATCTGCGTGGTCCATATCCTGGAGATCATTACCACCTAAGTGACGTTCCCAGCGATGGCTCTTCTTGATAGCTCCTCCTACCATCTCCCAATAAAGGTCGCCTGACGGGCGAATTCACACCTGCAGCATGACGCCCTCGAGAGAAGTTGGTTCATCATCGCATAGTTCACATTTCTGTGGCACAGTCGAAACCAGAGCTCTCCTACGGCAACTTTTTGCTGGTCGCCAGATCGAATACCGCAACGGTGTGACCGCTGCTGCCATTTTTCATTATCACTCGTTAGTGGTCGCCAGTGGAAAGCTAGCCTGGTTTAGGTAGCTTTACGTTCGGCTCGCGGCAAGTTGCTTCGTCGATCCTCGCATGCAGCCCACCCACTCGATGACGCTAGGTGGGTTCCGATAGAACCTTAGGGCCTTTGCAACGCTGCCTTACCCTAGACGAGGAGATGGGCATCAAAACTCCCGCTCCGATACCCCGAGGTCAACACTGGCGATTCAACCTGGGGCGGTTGTCGCTCCTGCCCCTGTTCACCGGTAAGGATCGGTAGACTTCTTCCACCAAAAACTGATTTCACGAGCGTAGTCAGAAGAGTATCAGTGCCCGTTCACGACTGCACTAGCACCTCACACGCACCGCTGCTCCAACCCCCCTATGCATCGTGCCTCA